TGGCAATCTGGTCAATGGTGTTGAATTTACTGGTGCTTAAATCAAAGGCAATACGAGCTAGTTTCTGTTTGTAGATGGGTTCTTTGACTCAACTTCATTTCTTGTTTAGATTTGGAGCGAATTGTATTGTACAAATAGTTATATTATACGTTCAATCATTTTATTTGTATAATGATTAAAAGATATTTATCGCTCTCAGTGTAATAACTCATGAGACAGTTCAAAATTTTCATAGAGTGCCTGTTTTTTTTGCATAATTTCTTGGTTATTACAAGTTTACACATGATGGAGTCATTTCATTTATATAACCAGACTATGTACTACAAAATCAAAACTAAAATTTGGACAACAGAACCATGTCTATACTGAATTTCTTCTGAAGAACAAACATTGATTTATCTGCCGAGTGTGTATTCTATGACCAATATATCTGTTTGCATACCTGTGTTCGTTGTAGTCTTGCAGATTCTCCTTTGAAGTGTGAACGCGCATAGCTCTCTGAAGTTCATCAAGAATGAAACGAATGATCACTGATCACCACAAAAGCCAGATTATCAAAAGCAAGGAGGTGGTCAACTTGCTAACTGCACTGGAGCCTTCAGGAGCAGAGTTGGGTAGATATGGGTATGATTCTGGTGGTGGCATCTGACATTCGTCGCCATTGAAGTATACTTTTCTAGGAAAGGCCCAACCCTGCTTGAAGGTAAATGTATCCTTGTCCTTCTTCATTAGTACTTCAGATTGCACATTTCCAAATGGCCCTGCTTCCATTAATAGATCATTGTAGAATTTCATGCCATAGAACATGCCAGTATCATCTGCACATTGAATTAAGTAGTGCATTCATGTCAATTAAGACTGAAATAGCCAAACATTTGCATTGAAACCACAAGAATTTTAGTACTCACTAATGGATTCATAGGGAACTAGGGGTTTGTAGTCAAAACTGAAGACTTGAGTTACATTATTCAGATTTGGATGCTGCACTGCCAGTGTCCATAGCGTATAGTTCATCCTGTAGTTGAAGTTGGTTACAGCAACCTTCACACGCCAGTAATCCTTGTAATTAATTTTTACGTGCCAGTGTACTCGAACAGGACACATGTGATGGGTGCACTGTAGTAAAGGCGTATTATCCTTTTTAGGAGTATTTATTCCGTCCTTGTGCAGTAGCTTTGAGTTACTCCTGCATAGTGGGATTAAAAGAAAAAAAAAAAAAAAAAAGATGATGTTATAGTCACCAGCAACTAAGCTGGAGTTCGAAGCCAGGAAATTAGACATCTGACATGAGGTTACTCGTCCAAACCCACCGCTAGCAGATATTTTCCTATTTGGACTTTTCCTTTCGGGCTCACCCTCAAGGTTTTTAAAATGCATCTGCTAGGGAGAGGTTTCCATACCCTTATAAAGGGTGTTTCGTTCTCCTCCCCAACCGAGGTAGGATCTCACGTATAGCAAGAAAGATTTCTATTCTAATAATCTGATGTTCTAACTTCTAAATGTGTGTGTGGAGAGAATCCTGAAACACATTTGTTACCATCTGGGGCAGAGAAAGAAGTCTCTTACTTTATACAATTGTGTTTGTTCTGGCAGCCACATGCACAGGTTGGGCAAGAAGTGATCGTATCATTGTAGAAAGTCGAGAGTGATACGCAGCAAGTTGGGTTCTTAGAGGCCAGAAACTGTGAGTAAGTGCAGGTTACATTCCATGTCACTGCATCAGAAGCAGCATAAATCAACTTCAAGAGCTTTATCTGAAAGGAGCACAACATGAAATTAGCAACAAGCTTACTCAGTGCTTGAGTTTTCCTCCGGCGATCAGGAGTAAGGAAGACTGTAGAAGGCACAACTTTTGCAGGTCCACATGTGTAGCCTGGTCCTGGACCGAGCAGAGTGAAGTTCTTCGGCAACTTTACCGTTTTGTTCGAAGTGCCAGCTAGTCCAACACTCACCTGGAAGGCAGAGACTGAACCTACTGGGTCCTGTCCCCAAGAAGCCAACACTCCACCCTTGCAGCAATTGGAGAATTGCTGGTTGTAAGGAACACCGGGGAGCAAATCAACAACTATAGGGGTTTTCTTGCAGCAATGAGGTACGTTTCCTTTGAACTTGGAACAATCTCCTTGCTCTGTTGTCTGAGCTCCCACCATAGACCATATCACTTCTTTCTTGGCCCATGACCAGCCCAGGGTCCATCCTGGTGCATTGATATGGCGGTACATCTGAAAATTGTTCATTGTCACTACAGCCTGTTACAGTTCAAAAACAAAAGATCTAAGGTCAGTATGGTGATCAGGTATTGAGAAATAGCTTTACGCCAGTGATCCAATCTTCATTCATGAATAACTTTAATCTTCATTCATTGTTCATAATCCTGGAAAGCTACTTAAAGGTACTAATCAAATTTTAGTTACAGGGGAGGGATGGAAAAGCTGCTGATTGTTATCTTACAACATATCCATCTGGCGTCCAAGAAACTACATCCCATTTGATTGTTATGTTTCCATTCGGATCCAATGGATCATAAGCCCCTGAAGAAGATTAACAGAACCAAAAACAAAATCATCAGCTACAACACACCAATAACCAGACCAATAAAATGGAAAAATCTTTCTTCTTGTAGCACGTACCAGTTGAATAGAAAGTTGCAAAGATCAGAAGTGCTAAGAGTACAACTCTTTTCTGTCGAGCCGAGTAGCATTCCATTTGAAAAAGAATTTTGTGTGATAGATCACTGTAGGTATTAACTTCCATGGCTTGAAGTTTTGCAGGATCAAAAGCTTCAACCAACTGAACTCATAGGATGCAACTGTTCTTTGCTGGTACCATGGAGTTGGAGATAATGAGAAATGAAGGGTACCAATATAGTTCAAGAGAATGCAAGAAGGTGTCTCACCTCTCACCTACTGGTTGTTAGATAATTCATGTGATATTTTTCAGCTACCTCTCTGTACACAATCACACAACCTCTGAAATTCTTCATCTATCTCTTTCAGTGTTTCTGCATCTTGAAGCAAAGCTTTCGAGAGGAATGATGCAAAAGGTGGTGGGAGACTTTTCAGAGATCTGGAGAGACTTTTCATCTGTCAGTGTCCTCGCACCAGAGGCAGGCAATTTTGCAGAACCCAGGAGCTGAGTTCAACTGCACTGGATCAGTAAGTTTTGGTTTAAATATCGAGACTTGATCTCAATGCATATGCCAAAACTAATTACATGTGACCGTCCAAGTCCACCACTGTAGTTATTGTCTATTTTAGTCTATTACGTGTCGCCATTAGCCTTGTGAGTTTAAAATGTGTCTGCTAGAGAGAGGTTTCCATACCTTATAAGGAATGTTTCGTTTCCCTCTCCAACTGATGTGAAATCTCACAATTCAATCTCCTTGAGGGCTCAACGGGCTTGTTAGCACACCACATAGTATCTAGCTCTGATACTATTCGTAACAGCCTAAGTCACCGCTAATAGATATTCTTCCACTTTAGCTCATTACTTATCATTCTTAGCCTCACAGCTCAGGTTTCCACACCCTTGTAAAGAATGTATCGTTCCCTTTTCCGACCGAAGTGGGACACTCACATTATATCACCAAAATGAGTATAGCTCAACAGTAGTTGACATGTACCCTCGATCAGGAGGTTAGAGGTTTCGTTGTAGAACTTAACTTCAATTATTGTTTTAATTTTTTTTACAATTAGGTGAGCAATCATGATCTTGACAATAATCTAACAACCTTTTTTTTTCCCCCCTCTTTTAAAACAACATTAAACAGCAATTTAGTACCATATTATTGTGAAAACCAAATTAGACCTAATGAGAGTAAGAGGTGGCAACAACTATAACCTTTTTTAATTTCCAACTGGGCTGGGCTTGTTGCTTTGCACTGAGGAATATAGTATGTTGTTCCACTAGAGGGCCCAGCTTCTAAGCCATCCCGAGCCCAATTTCTTTCGGTTAGGGATTTTATTTTAATTTTTTTAAAAGCCAAATTTTAAAATATTTGTTCGCTTTAAATAATTCGTTCGGTTCTATTTTTATGTTTAAATCCTTTTGGATCTGCCTATAACTGGAGGTAAGTTAACTTTTTTATTTTTTTATTTTTTATTTTTAATTTGCTAATTATTAATGTTAGACTTTAATCCTTTACTTTAAAATTTATGAACTAAAATAAATTTATATTTAATAGATCAATTTAAAATTTTCTTAAAAATTGATAAAATTATTATAAATAGTTTTTCGAACTTTTTTTTTTTTTTTCCGTTTAAAATTTAATTTGACCTAAAAAATAATGGTAAGTTGTCTCCATGCTAACGAAACGTGCCACGTGTCATATGGCATATTCATTTCTTCACCCGCTTCTTCTGCCTGAAAATCAAAATTCTCTCCCTCGCTTTCTCTCAGTTCTGTTTCTTGTTTTCTCTACAGTCAACAATGGCGGACTCAATTCCCACCCCGCTTCTCAGTGATGAACTCGACATCGTCATCCCCACCATCTGAAACCTCGACTTCCTCGAAATATGGAGGCCATTTTTCCAGTACCACTTGATCATCGTCCAAGACTATCAGAGTTCCCCATGGATTTGACCAAAAGCTCTACAATCGTAGCGATATCAATCGGATTTTGGTCCTTTGGCTTCTTGCATTTCCTTTAAGGACTCTGCTTGTAGCTGCTTTGGCTATATGGTTTCGAAGAAATACATCTTCACAATCGATGATGATGATTGCCTTGTAAGTTTACTCTATTCTTCCTTTTTAGAGCTTTTTGGGTCTCTGTTCTTGATTGCTTCTGTCAATCATCGCATCTTGACCGAAAACACATGTATACTAAAGTATTTGTCTCTCCTTGCAACCTAAAGAGGCACCTTACCAAACTTGTAGAATCATTTGGTAATATAAGAAATCCAAATGATCTACAATAATATATCAAGTTCATATGTCTCTTAACTTATCTAGACCAAATAGAGAGATTTGGGTGCTGAAAAGGAAAGCTCAATAATGGCTTAGCTGAAAATAGAATTAGGAGTATTATCTTTTGCAAAGATTCATCAAAAGACATCTCAAAGCTTAATAATAGAATACTTCAAGAATGGTCCAAGAATAGTGCCAACATATCAACGTTTGTGGAACAAAGTTTAGTTCATATGAAAAAGGAATAAATCATGCCTACTTTATTCTGGAGTTCTTCTCCTCACCCTACCCCAACAACAGCTCTTCCAGCACCACTGCATCAAAATCCACTGCATTGTTCATAGTCAGCACAAACTTCGTCCTGCCACGCCACCTGTTCCAATACGAATCTGTTGTCAAAACTCAAGGATCTGAGAAAATGCCATGACATAGCCTGTTTTTGTAGGTCCATAAACAGATAGTAGAATGCTTTTGTTCAATGCCAACCAGCAGATGGTAGGAACAACAAACAAAAAGTTAAACCATCCTTCATAAAAGACTCAGTGAAGGTAATAGCATCACTAACCCTAAGAGACATCTTTATAAAAGACACTAAGGAGTCTCTTTAGCATATTCAGTTACCTTGGTGGGTCAAGAAGCACCAAAGATTGTCCAAGGTCTATTCAAGTGCATATTTCAGGAATGTAGTAAATCATTGACAACAAGAAAGATTCCAAATTTAACAAACATGTATATGGGTGAGGGCCATATCAAATAAATTAATGCTAAGTACGTTCTGTAACAGTCTAAGCCCACCGATAGCAGATATTATTCTCTTTGGGCTTTCCCTTCCGAACATCCCCTCACGGTTTTTAAACGCGTATGTTAAGGAGAGGTTTTCACATCCTTATAAAGAATATTTCGTTCTTCTCTCCAATCGATGTGAGATCTCACAATCCATCCCTCTTCAGGGCCCAGCGTCCTCGCTGACATTCGTTCCCTCTTCGATCAATGTGAGATTTCACAATCTACCTCCCTCAAGAGCCCAATCCTCGCTGGTACACTGCCCAACATCCACCCCCTTTGGGGCCCAGCGTCTTCGCTGGCACACCGCCCGATGTCTAGCTCTAATACCATTTGTAATATTCCAAACCCACTACTAGCAGATATTGTCCTTTTTGGGTTGTCCCTTTTGGGTTTTTCCTTTCGGGCTTCCCTTCAAGGTTTTTAAAACGTATCTCCTAGGGAGAGGTTTCCACACCCTTATAAAGAATGCTTCATTCTCCTCCCCAACTGATGTGGGATCTCACACGTTCATTCTAGATCTTCATGTTAATGGAATTGACATGGTGAAATAATCTAGCTTGCAATCAGAGAAACGAAGATAACTTTGTTTAGAAATTAAATGAAAACATAAAAAAAAAAATCATTTTCAGAAATTTTCTGAGGAACTCCTTCAACTCGATCTTATAAACATGGGAAACGTACAAAAATCCAGTTTTGCAAGAGAATCATTTTTAGGTACCTGTTTTGCATAAAATTTAAGTGATCCGGAGGCAGCAGAAAGCATTACTTTCTTGCTTCACCTGCATAACTTGCCTCTCGTGCTCCACGCGATGAAGTTGTGATGAAAGCTGCAGCAAGTCAATGGTGGGGCTGCCTTCAGTAGTATCAGCCAAATTTGACCCATGGAAAATACGATTTGTACTTTCAAAGTTTACTGCATCACTTGTTTCAGGCGTTGATATGGGACCAAGAGTATTCAACCCTGATGAATTGAATTTATTGGACACGCCACTCACAGAAACCTGGGAGCTTACTCCCATGAGCTTCTCAGAAAGTTGACTCATGCTGTAATGATTCTGGCCCTCGAGCAAGACCAACGGACGAGCAATGGGAATCCCCGATGAATGAGTTAAGGAGTTTTGTGTTTGAGATGACAGAAGAGAGAGAGCACAACCGGAGTCTGATAATCCTGATATTCTGTCGGTTGTTGCTGCACTAAAAACACTGAAGTATTCACTGCCCAATGAGGGGTTATTAAAGACACCTCCTACACTAATAGGATATTGATTACTGTTCTCCTTGAACATGTTTGTGGCAGCTGCATTCAGTCCATTGTCATGAAAAGGGGGAATTTGAGTATCAATATCATAAGGAGAGAAGAGGGATTTTGAATGCAGGTAACCACTAGGAACATGAACAGCAGACAGAGGCATATATTCATTCTTGTCTTCAATCTTCACAGTCCTACACCAATCACTTGTTCCATATTTCTCTGGATGCATAATACCACTTGGTAATATCTCTTGGCAGATAAAGGATGTTGCTGGTGTTCCTTGAAGCCTGCTACCTGCATTTTATTCAGTGATTAGCAGAAAGCCAGAATTCCACAGCAAGTTTAAGAATAGAGAGATTGATGCAGTTTTAATACCATTATATGACTGAAGGAACCTTCCCGCCCTGCCGGAGTTTAGAGCCACCTGAGGCCTTCTTCGACGTTCATTATGACCTGCAAGGCGTTTACGACAGCTGCGCTTACCATCATCAAACTCAGCTAGCAAATGAAACCTGGAAGTCAAGAGCTAATACATATTATAGCAGCAACAATACTAATGATCTATGTGTGGGGGCCTTGCAGCAGCATAAGCGGTAAAAGCCACAACTTGGGTAAGTGCCCCCTCTTCCCAATTTACTTTTTGTTCAATGTAAAGTTCATGATGATGTTATTCAGTAAGTAAGCACATAGGATTATGATAGATGAAAATGAACTAACCTGCTACATTGCTGACAAAACCTTTGCTCTATGCCATTGACAATAACTTTTGCAGTCTTTGAGTGAGCTTCACAAACTTTATGCCTCTTATGGTAATCCTTAGAGGAGCTGAGATCCTTATTACAGCCATAAACTTGACAGAAATAAGTTTGGGAATTCAACCCGGAAGCTCGTACCCTTTTTGAAGGCATCGACGACTCAGATGATGATACAACAGGGGCTCCCTTGAAAATTTTGTAGCCATGAGCATCCCTCTGGTCAGCAAATCTCCCCAAATTCAAATCGATAAACGATGAATCTCGGCCGGTAGAGTCAACAATAGAGCCAGAGAGCTTTGAAGTGGATTCATCCTCCCCCAGAAATGCATTGGAGGAATTCATAGCAGGATTCAGAAACCTTCCACCAACAACCTTGCTACTCAAAATATCACAAATGTCAGGTAATTGTTTCCCAATCATTTCTGGGAAAACAAGTTCCCCAAAACCTTGATTGTTAACCTGTTGACCTGTTGCTAACATAGTGCTACTGAAATTGCAGGGATTCTTGAAGTCCCACCCCAACGCAGAATCCTTATTTCTTGCAAGCGAACTAGTAGGTGAGTTCATTTCATCAGACATACATCCCTTTCCTTCAGAAACATAACTCCAAGACTCCATTACAGAAAACTAAATGAATCAGTAGAAGCTCGCCCCAAAAGGAAAAGAAAATAGCCTTGAAATTACCCCAAAATTCAAAGAAAAGTTGCAGTTCAGTAGCTAAACATGAAAGATCCTTCATAATCACTGTTCAAAACCTCCAAAACCCCACCAGAACACAACGAAAAGGATACCCATATGAGGTTTCTGAGCCTGCCCCAAATGGGTTTAGCTAAAAGAGAAAAAGAAAGAAGAATCTGTCAAAAAGAATCAGATCTCAGAGAACCACAGGGCTGGAAAGCAACAAAATGAACCCGAAAACTATGAACCCTATGTGAATCATTAAAAGGAAAAGGAAGAAATCAAGAACAAAAAAGGAAGCAATAAGCTGAATCCAAAGAAAGTCCCAGAGAAAGAAGAGCTCGAAAAGCCATCAGGGTGCTATAAGAAGGAAAACCATAAAAGTTACTGAAATGGGGAGAGAGAGAGAGAGAGAGAGAGAGAGAGAAGAGGTGTGACTTTACCAGTGCGCACTGTTCATAAGTGGTATTATGAAGAAGGGCTGAAATGGGGTTTACTTAATGCCAAAGATATTTGTGGTGTGCTACACAAACTCCATGGAAGAGCTCATGAGCTTGTGGCTGCCATTTCTGGGGACACAAGAATTGAAAACAGAGCGTAGAAAAGGAATTAGAAGGTAACGGTTTTGAGGTTTGCAGAGCAGTCGTTTTCCCAAACGAGTTAGCTGCTTTGCTTTGATTAGTTACATAGAGATTGTTTTGGTATTTCCCCCACTAAATTTGGCTCCTTCACGGCCTTGTCTTCGTCAAGGAGGCAACCTTGCTTTCGGTCAACGATTATTACCCAAAGCTTTTAAGACAAATTAAGAACCTGTTTCTCAATCATTTGGTTGTTAAACAGTTAAACCTTCCCAATTTCCCAACCTAATCTTATCTTCACCATTTTATTTTATTTTGTTTTCTCCAGAAAATTAAGAAAATAATTATGAAAAATCCAATCTTTTTCCACTCAATTTGCATCCAATGTCTGATCTGACCACTTTGCATTCATTTCACTTCAACCCATTGTGTTCTTTTTTGCTTTGAATTATTTTTATAATTTTCTATAGCTTCAACAGTGCAAAACTGTTCATCTTCTTGTAGCAAGTCCCTTAAATAGTTACTTGAAATCCAACCATTCTCCTAATTTGTTGAGTTTTTTTTTAGCAGATTCCCGTCAATGCAAGATGATTAGGTTCATTCGAGGCCATGCTCTGATGTGAATCCCTATAATTGGTTGACTTGCAAGATCGAAGGCACGATTCGCACTGATCCACTTTCTTTTTAAAGATAGGATCATTCAATGGGTACTTCTCCTTAACTCTGCAAAAAATTTAAATAATATGCAAGTGTTGAAATAATTCTTTTAGTTACGACATAGAATCGTTAGATTAGCAAAATATCACAGTTTGTGAATTCGAAAAACTTAGACCGAGAGCCAGAACAAGTGGTATTAGAGCGAAAAGTTAGCTAGTGTAGGTCAAATATAATTAAATATTTTGTCGGTAACATTTAAGAAGTATGAGCCCTTCATTTCTACTCGGTATTTTTTTTATTATTATTATTTTATGAAAAAGGAACAATAACCTATTTTGAAAACGGGGAACATTTAAAAAACGAGCCAAAAATGTTTTTATCTATTTATTTATTTTTATTTTAAAGTTTGTACTTTTATTGTTTGAAAATTCAACAAAAAGGAGGGCAGAAGGAGAGGGACCATTCATAGTGGAAATAAATAAGGTGAGAGGGACAAGTAATTAAGCATGAAATTTCAATTAAGAAACTTATTTATTTATTTATTTTGTATGTCGGGATCTAAAAGACAGGCCCCACATCCACTGTCATATTTTAATAATTTTACCTCCAATTTTTAACTTTATATATTTAATATTTTTAACTTTATATATTTAGTATTCATCCAACGCTCCCATCTCTTCACTCTCAAAACATTTAATCATTAATTAATTACATTTGGTATATTCTCTTTGGTTTTCCTTTATATACATATAATATATTTAATTTTAATATTAATTTTAATCAAAACTTTCATCTATAATTTCTAATTTAAAAATATTTTTATAATATTAAACCTAATTTCTAAAAATTCATATTGAAACCTTATAACTAATTTTAATAAATAACGACCATTTATGTGGTTTGAAAAGATCTTCTACATCTATAGGTAGTAGCGGATCACTACAGCGAAAGTGTTTACAAAATCTCGACTCCGAGTAAATACAAGATGACACTCACTCCACGTCTCATAACGATACTAGACATAATAGCAATGTAGATGATTCATGTAACCATATGAGAAATGAACTGACCCAATATATTAAAATAACATAAAAGACAAAATGAGAATGAATTTAAAGAAAAGTGCCTTCAAATCTCACTGTTCCAACTGTTTCGATTTTTTTTTTTTTTTTTGAATGTTAAAATAGGATTGAAAGCTCTATACCACCAAATATATCCCTTTTTCTCTCTCTCGACCCCACCAAAATTTATTTTACTTAGTAGGGTAGCTAGCTACGTATATATCTAATCATAGCTTAATAGATAAAACGTGTATACAATATTAAAATTCATAATTAAAAGAGTAAATATTTTTTTAAAATTTTAAATTATCGAAAATTTAATAGATACAAAATTAAAATTTTAAATGTTTTGGATTGAATACACAAATAACTTATAATTTAATTAATTTTTATTTATTTATTAAGTAATTGTTCTTTTAAGTCCAACACTTCAATAAAGCATTGATTTAGATGGTTTGTATTTAAGCAGCCGAACGTCTTAAATTTACTGCACACTGGGGAGGGTTTACCACCCCACAAGAAGTTAAAAAGATAGGACCCCTCCCTTAGGGGTTGGTAGATATAGAACAAGTGGGCCAACTAATAATAACTCACAGTAAATATTAATAAATGTTCATTTACCTTATTTTTACCGTATGGATATATATGATATTAAATTAAATAGATAGTTAAATAATTAATATAAATATTTTAAAACTTAAATTATTAACTTTATTTCTTTTAATTAAAAAAAAATAGTTTCTATACATTTAAAAATTAAAATTTCGTCTCTAATGTTTGTGTAATTTCGGAACAACACCAACATAGGTTAATTGTGAAAAAATGCCTAAATTTCTTCATTTAAACGGGTTGTCTTTATCCATTTCTTTTAATTTAATTAATTTTATATTCCATATTACTATTAATTATCTTTTTAAAAAATTTATTGTCTTTCAAGAAATTTTACAAAACAATTTGACTTTTTGTTCGAGAAATAGAGACCATTATGGCTACGCGAGATATGTACTCTATATAATATTAAAAACACGTTTCAGAATATTCTTGAAATAATTAAAATCACTATATTATATTTAAAATTATTCTTAAACACATTTTTAATGATCGAAAAGTATCAAAATTCCATTAAAAAATAAAATAAAATATTGAATTAATTAAAAAAATATATTTTTAAAGTAATTTTAAACCCGACAAAAATGATTTTAACGGTTCGAATTTAAGAAAAAAAACAAAACATTATGGAGTTTTGAAAGTTCCCATGTCTATGGACCAAAGTTTATTTAATGAAACCAACAAGGTGGTAGTTGCTCCCCCACAAACAGCTGCCTCTGGTCCTCCTCATGAATAGCCTTTTAATTTCCTTTTTTATTTATTTAATGTTACAAATAAAATAAAAATAATTTCTTTTTAGTTGAATAAAACCAATTTTATTTAAAATAAATAAATAAACATAAATATTTTGCTTTATTTTATTTTATTTTATTTTATTTGTGTTCCAAGTGAAATTAAAACTCTTTCACAATTTAATTATTATCCAACAATAAATAAAGAAATAAATACTTTCATCAATATCAAGTACAAATTAAAAAGGACCCACATTATAATAATGTTTTTTTAACAAAATTTTAATGTATTTAATTTCCCCAAAATATCATTGACCATATACTCACTATCAATGCCCTCCCATTATTATTGTATTAATGGATTAAAAACATTTATACTTAAAAAAAAACAAAACATAATTTATTATATATTTTTAAATTATTTTTATTTCTAAAATCATAATATTTTTTTAAATAGAAATTTGAACCTCAAAATTTTTTGTTGGGCC